GGATAGCTGTTCGCTTCCCAGGCAGTAACATCATGGAGGAATCTGAAGGCTCAGGAATTAGAGCAGCAGAAGTGCAGGAGAACGTGGATGCTGTCATTTCTTCCGAAACTCCACTGAACGTGACAGGTTTATAAGTACTGTATCTGCTGTACACACAATGCCTTGCAAAAGTATTCACTGACTTCCATCCATGTCCTGTTTTATAAACACATATTTTTAAAGCGAATCTGCTTAATCAAAACTTCGGTGCTCACACTGAACAGTGTAATGAGTATATATAGTATATATTCATTATAGTAATTAGAGAGTATATACACAGATATACTGGTCTGATGCTGATGGCATTGTATGTTTCGTACTGATTCCCACACAGAGTGTGGGGTGTCTCAGGATGGAGGTGTCCTGCAAGACGTTATAACACAGTGGAAAAGTTCTGCATTAACACTTCTTAAAAGTAAATTCAAATTAATTAACCTTGATGTCAAATACTGATGTGGTATATTAGTATTAGCTGTAGTAGTAGGAGAAGCAGTATTTCCCTGTGTGCGCATGTGCGACTGTGTGTTAGCTTCTGTTGCGTGCTTGTGCAAGTTTGTGCATCTGTGTGAGCTTGTGTGCGAGTGTGCGAGTATGTGTGCACTAGTCCTGCCTGGTTTCCTGCCCTTCTAGAACAGACTGCAGTTGCCACAATCCTAACCAAGAAGAAGTGGTGATCTGATAGTGGGTGGGCGGGTGGATTATTAATATTAGAGCTGCAGCAGGCCTACTGATTATATAGAGCTGTGCAGGCACACCAGGAAATGTCTCTACTGTCTTCTGCAACTGAGCCACTCACATTCTAATCCTTGAATCCATCCCTCAGCATTATTTTAAGAAGCAGCTTAATTGCTATAGTGATTTGGCTAATTATCAGACAGTTGCAGAATTCTGGGCTGGACTGAAGTGATGGCGCGGACCCTGCCAACTCAGTAAGGCTGTTTGGATTCATGGGCAAGCCACAACGAGACAGGGATGTTCTCAGACAACAGGGATGGAACGAGTGCATAATTGCTCTCTTCATTCTGCAGCAGAGGGGTGTCTGCCCTCCCTCCATTTTTGAAATTGAAAGGCGAGCAGCTGGACCCCCGACTCGGGGCTCTTGATGAAGCACCACTTCACGGCGGCTCTGGGTGAAGAATTCAGGGCCGCTGCGTGTTGGCTGTTGATGAGACCCGGCCCAGGAGCGCAGGGCGACAGGGAGGGAGTCAGCCTAGCGGGGGTCGATTCCCTTCCGTCGTGTGTCGAGGGCTGGATCCGAGCGAGCAGTGGCCTCCCCTACGCCGGCTGAGCTTTAAAGGCGGCGGCCTTCAGCTCCGGCCCTGGGGAGTCACGCCGGGTCTGCAGTCTGTTTCAGCTCCACTCCGCGCACCCGCGCTGATGTCAGCGGACGGAGGGCCGCCGTTCCCCCCCTGAAAGCGAACGATCGCTTGCTCCCCTGCTCTCCCGTACTTTCTGTGGGATTTCTTTCCAGACTGTGGCTTGAGGGGCATGGACACAAAGTGCAAGGATGTGGGGGTTAATGGCTGGAACAATCTAGGACCAAATCCATCATCATCATCAGTAGTATCATCATCATCACTTTCTGACCACTTACTCCTGGGCCAACTTCCCTTCCCCCGGCAACAGTCCTCAGCTCCTCCTGGGGGACTCACCCCGGTGTGTCCTGGGCCTGCCCAGAGGTGTCTGGTACAGCTCCAGATGCCCAAGCCCCCTCAACTGGCTCTCGACCCAGAGGTGACCCGACTCCAAGGTCCGCCCGCACTGCCCAGGAGAATAAGCCCAGCAGCGGCACGAGCACTCTGTGCGTTTTGCCATGATCTTCTGGGTGAGGGGCACGGTGTATTTGCCTGTCTGCAATGTGGCGCTGAAGCCTGTGCGTTTGAACTACGAACCCTATCTCTCTATCTGCGTACAGCTGTAACTGTGTGACCAAGGAGAGGTGGAGTCTTGTCCTTACTTCCTTACCGTTTGTGTTTCTCTTACAAATACCTTTTCCCAAGTTGAGTAGACCCCGGAATCAAGACACCTGACTACCTTCATCACACACAAGAGTTGTTACGCATAGAAATTGTTGTACAACAAAAAAAAAGTTGAATGTGTTTAATAGAAATGGAAGGTTTTACATACATTTGTTGTAATAGATAATAACCGTTTCCTGCGTGTTGATACAGAATTGTTACAATTGTATGGTAAAGTTATTGACTTTAAAAATAACAAAGGAGGGGATGTAGTATAGTGAGTAGACATCGCGAGACAAGAGAGTAGAAGGCGGGAATATATGGCGTAAGGGTGTGATTTGTGTAGTTAATAAAACAGCCAAAAGAATATAAGAACGGCTCTTTATTAAGATACACAACACCACCGAAAACGTCCATACTGCGCGTTGGCACCTCTGTATCGGTGCGCTGCGTGGGGCTGGAAAAGGATGTCGTACTCTGAACGTTTTCACCAGGTGTGGTCTGGGAGTCAGTGCCCTAAGTAAGCGACTTTCGCAACGCTTTTTTAAACCGAACGAAGGAGCGGGAAACGCTCCTTTGTCCTGAGACAAAGTTACACAGCAAGCGCAATGCAATTCTACCGAAACGAGGGGAGATTCTCTGTTCTTTGTCTTTCGAACCCCTGAAGACAAACTGCGACCCCACGTATTTACACCCTCACACCACGCACGAAACGGGGATACGTCTGTGGGGCAGACCGGTTGGACGCTGGCTCTAGACTTGGATAGGCAGCAGAAACCAGCGTTTCGCTATGCTGGACCTGTTGAAGCATTTTGGTTGAAAACATTTGACAAATGTTGCTTTCCCTCAGCTATTCACGTTAACACTTTTTTTTTTCTAAAAAAAAGAATCTAAACTAAAATGTTTATTATTTTTTTCCGGGTAGAAGTTGTCAGATGGGCAGGCTGTTTTTTTTTTTGCTTAAGACTGAGATGAAGGGATGAAAACTAACCGCACTCATCGTTACCCTCAGTACTTAGTGCCGCCTTAACAATACGTCCTGTTAACCGTACATCCAGGTACTCATTATCGAGTTTACATTTAGTTAGTAACATTAATAGTTACTAACAACAACTGTTAATAGCTGGTAGAGTATGTGTTCGTATGTTGGTACTATGTAATGGAGTTTATTTTTAAGGAGGACTTCGCAATTAGGATTTCTCCTTAAAGCGGTAAAGTCTAATGGGCCTCACTTTTAACATGATTTGGTTTGATGTGAAGTCACTATTAAACCAATCGGTTGGTCCCGGCATGCTGCGCGTTTCGTGTAGCCTGACGCCGCGAGATGGGCCGTGTGGAACCGGCGCGTTGTTTGAAGTAAAGACAGACAGCGACGTAGATGAAAACAGCAAGTTCTTAGTAAGTTTCTCTAAGACGTGTTGTATGTATTCGTGCATGTGTCAATGTTAACACAGTGAGACGCTGAACATGACGGAATCATCGTTTTTCAGTGGAACATGGAATAAAATAGCAAAGAAATGTAAACGAGTTTTTCTTTCCGCTACAGTATATAGATAAATAATTAACTCTTACACGGATGTTTAAAAAAATAAATAAATAGGTCTTTAATGTAGCTCTCCTACATTTCACATATATACTGAGCGTTAAAAATTCCACCCGTTTTTAATGTACAATACAAGGCGTACGGATTCTGGATGTCGATAATTTTGTTCATGTCCGTGGACACACACGAATGTGTTTGTTGCATTAGCACTCCTTACGGAGAGTCTTGATGGGCCAGAGTTGATGAGATCTAATGTTGGCCCTGTTGAAAATAAACAAGAAGAGAAAAGAACCAATTTACCCTACTTACTGGGGAAACCAGTGCCTTTGTACCAGCTGGAGAAACAGCTCAGATTGACTTCTTTAGACTTCTCTAAGTCTTCTTTAGTGGCAAATCCAGGGTTTGTGTGAAACACCCTGATGCACAGCAGTGCGGCACAGACATGCAGAATGATACATCGGTAATGGTTGTGTACAACCATCCAATCCAAGGGGAGGTGAAAACACGATGGTCCGGGCAGGTGTGTCTAGCTCCAGCAGAACTCTACCAGTAGTGACTGATGGTGATCTGATGGTGCACAGTCTAACACTGATCAAGTCCTTCAAGACCTCTCTTGCTGCTCTTGCTTCAGGCAGGACAGCAGTCCAGCCGGACAAACCACATCCTCAAAGTACTCGTGTAACAGTGGTTTTCTTGCAAGATGACAATGCGATCGTTAAACCATGGGCACCTCACTCACTAGAGTGGAGCCTCATTGAGCATGTGTGGGATGCCCTGGGACAACCCCATTGAGCATGTGTGGGATGCCCTGGGACAGCCCCATTGAGCATGTGTGGGATGCGCTGGGACAGCCCCCATTGAGCATGTGTATAATGCACTGGGACAGTGTGAGGCAGCCAGGGCTCAGAGACCAGAGAGCAGGTGCCTCTCCGGGCTCAGAGAGGAGTGGGACAGAATCCCACAGCCTGCTGCAAACCACATGGCACAGATGTGCAGCTTGAGCAGCTTCCCAGAGAGGCCACACGGGCTGCTAGCCTGTGACTTTCACAGGAGAATCCCTGTTGAGAAACCCAGTTACAGAGAAATGTGAATCGGCTTAATCAAATTACCTGTGTCATGCCTGTTCGATAAAATGTCAGCTTACCTCCTACAAAAAGAATATTTGTGTTTTTTTGTAGTTACAAGAGCTAGGTTTCATTTCCTGGTTTCTGTTCTTTTGATGCCTGGTAAGGGAAGCTAACATTTAGTTAGTTAGCATGGCCACTAGCATGTTAGTGAAATACAGTAAGTGTACCTGGGCCAGCGAGCACATGTGTGTTCAATCCCTTCTGCTTCTGCACTCGTGCAGGGAAAGAGATTTCTTTTCCAATGTTGCATCTGATACTGCACACCGAACACATGATTAATAGCTACATTAAAATGCTGTTTTTTTTCAGATGGTGGAAATACAGAAATAGCTGTTCTAATCCAAGGCGGCTGGATCCTGCTGTCAGTGGGTATCTGGGGTCCGTGAAGTGTAAGGTTGGTTTCAAAGAAGCGATTGCACATTTGTTTGAAATTTTAAAGGCAAATGTATTTGTTCTAAGTTCTGTGATGTGTACATTTCACAAGTGTTTTTTCCTTTGACAAACAGTTATTTCGAGACTTTTAAAGAAGGGTACGAAAGGCCGAAGAGCTTCTCGCCTGTGTAGGTCTTCATTCATTTATTAACCTGGCACTTGTCATCCAAAGTGACCTACATTTCTGCCTGTTCATACGAGAGAGGGTGTCTTTCTTCAAGGGTGCGGAGATCAGGGAAGGGGAGATGCTGGGCATCACATGTCAGTTCCTGTAATTGTGCTACAGTTGTAATACCTACAGGATATGTGCGTATTGTGGATCTAACTGGTCGTGGAGACCTTTAAAATTGAATATGATTCTGTCGTTTTATGAGTCTACCCATCCGAACTGTGGGATGCTGTAACAGGACCATTGGCTCGGCAGGTCTCAGGAGGAGAACAGACACATGAATGAAGCTGTTGGGTTAAAAATGTGTTAATAGTGCGCAGGAAAATATGCCCAAAAAATCTGTTTCTGTGAGACCTAACTAGGCTTCTTCCAGAGTCCCTCTTTATAAGCATAGCCAGACATTTAAGCTGCTTATGGACTTCAACACACCTCTCTCCGAAACCCATTCTAGAAGAAAAAGCCTCAACAATACAAAATGTCCATGGGCCCATTCGCCGGCCACTTGCTTGCTCCCTTCTCCCTCTGGGGCGTAGCAGAGGCTCTGCTCTCTTCTTAGCTAGCAGAGGTCAATAGCCAACCAGAAGCCTCGGATTCCTGGTTTTTAAAGGTCATCCGGCCAATCATCTTCCTCCAATTAGTCAGGTGACCAAGAACGGCAGGTCAGTCCCCACTGCATTCTGGAGAATGTGGTTTGACAAGGACTTTACAATCCTTTACCTAAAAAATGCTTTTTTTCCTGGCAAGGGCTGTGATAAAACCTGGATCCCATTCTGGAATATTAGAGGTCCTCTGGAGTGCCAGCTCATCATGAGATGCACACAGGAAAAATGTACTAACATGAATATTTGTGAATTGACATCAATTCAGATTTATTTTATGGAAGAAGCTTTTATATTCTTTGGGTATGGGGCAGCTGATTAACCCATCTGGAGCTGTAGAAGCTGCAGAAGGTAGCTGGACCAGCACTGGTGAATCCGTTGTTTGTCTGCGATGTGAATCTCTTCTGTCTGTGTGTGTTTACCTAAAAACTGAGATTCTGTTTCCACAGACCACAATGAGCTCTCATCCCTGACTACCTAACGTTAGTGCAAGTAAACACTGCAGACCACAATGAGCTCTCATCTTTGTCTACCTAATGTTATCTCAAGTAACTGACACTGACACACACTGATCTACACAGACATGCACACTGACAGACACAGTGATCTACACTCAGATACACACTGACACACACATACTGACCTCTCAACTATTGATAAATAAAGTAAGTCATCTGTTCAATTAAGGTAATTCTGGTTCTTGATGAAGAGTACTTTACTCTACCTAATGTTATCTCTAGTTAACAAGTCTATCATTATCACTAATCTTCATGTGCAAAACCAGGTGAACGTGTTTAGCACCTAGTCTTGTTTCTCGCAACAGAGATATCAGTTGGAAGATTAATGTTTCTTGAAATTTTGAACTTATTTGCACCTGACAATGTAGGATTTCTATTTCATATAATCCATCCATGTCTCCAACCCGGAGAGCCTAGGCCTATCCCAGCAAGCAACAGGTGCAAGTCAGGATACACTCATCACAGGGCACACAGATACAAACACACACTCACACCAGGGCCAGTTTTCCCAGAGATCAATTAGTCCACCAGCTTGTCCTTAGACTGTGGGAGGAAACGGGAGCATCCCGGAGGAAACCCTCATGAACACACGGAGAACATATGAACTCCATGCAAATAGTACCCAAGGTACAGAATTGAACCCAGGGCAAAAGCACTATAAGGCTGCAATTCTATCTACTGTATGTGTTACAAAACTGCCCTAATTCATGTAATGAGAAGTTCAGTTGAAGTTTGACTCAAATCAAGCATAACTTACCCACAGGGTAATTTTCTAGGTCTTTTTAAAGAGCTGATGAATCCCTGTTCCCTGTTCTCTAGTCATTCTAGTCTGTCGTGTAAGTTAGTGGCCTCAGTCCTGGTCTGCTGGTCTTTGCTGCAGCTGGGCTCTCAGTCCCTTGTGTTACATGGCGACCGTAATGTAACTGCTTGCTGGTTTAGACTTTTTACTGCACTCAGTTCTTGGTTTCATAAATGCCCTACTTAAAGCGAGTCACTTCCAACACCTTAAGCACAGAGAACCGTGTCGCTCCCCAGCTCCCCTGCTGGCTAATTAAGAATTTGCTCCCTAATCTCTGACTAAACAGCTCTTAAGAGATGATCAGTGACGGCTGAACAGACTCAGGTAGGAATGACACTGTATCACACAGCGAGTCGACTGAGTGACGTAACATTACCGGATGGAAGCTCTTAACTGAGGTTCAGGAGGAATGATGACAGCCAAGCCTTTTCTGCCCTGCTGTTCTAGTTAATTATTAACGTCAGTTCTCAGAGCTGTGTATATAACGCTTAAACCCTTCCTTCCGTAGTGCGACTCCGGCATCCCTCCTCCACCTCATCTCCACCTGTGCAGCTGCCCCCCGGTCACTCCTCTGTCAGCCGCGAGGGATAAGGCGGATTTCACTTTCCTGAAGTACTCAGTTCCTGAAGTACTCAACATCCTTAAACGGCTCTAGTTCTCGGGTGTCATTATTCCTCATGAAGAGTATTGGCTCAAAGAGAAGTTTGTCCTAGTGTAGCTGGTAATTTATTGAAGTTGTATGGGCCTGATTAAGGTCTGCAGGTTTTCTGGGTCTCTTTAAAGCACTGCAGCGTGGACAGCTGGGAAGAGCTGGTCCGGTTAAGCCAGAAATGAGCTGGTCAAGCTTGTTCAGAGCTGAATTGGAATGGAGACCCGCTGACAGACTGCTCCTCCAGGACCAGGATTGGGCCTAAGGTTTTCAGCCTTTATAGGATGTCCTGGTAGATCTGTGAACTGCCTTTGCCTGAAACGTATTGATCAAAGGAGATTTCAGTTCTCCTGTAGGTTGGGGGCTCTGAGCCTTTTTCCTCCCGGAGTAGCCGACCTGTTCTGAAAGCTCACAGCTCATTGATATAACTCGGGCTTTGCCAGGAGCCTCTCTCTGCCTCTCCAGTGTCCGGTAAATAGATGCGCATTTGTTGCCTGTGGCTGCGGAGCACGAAAGAGTTGTCTTTGGCCCAGATCTCACATTTTCCGAGTGAGTCGAGTTTCCTTCGTCTTGGTGGCGCCGAAGCCCATCGATCCCGGGACGTCATCGTGTCGCTCCAGGAAGAATCCCACTGAATCGCCTTTTAACGACAGGGTCTGGCGCTTCTGTGCCGAAACGCCCACTGTTCACATTGTGATGAAGAGCCTGTTATTTTCTGGCCTTAATGCACTCGCATTAAAACTCCATTTGTGTGTTTCTCATTGTGCCTGAAGCACCATGCAGGGACTGATAAAACAAATCGATAGGGGACAAACAATGACAAATCACTGCTTAGAGAAAGACTCGAAGATGACGAAAATGAGATATATACTTATAATGTTCCAGGAGCTTGCTAATTCATTTTCTTACAATTCTTTTCATTCGTTATGCACTACAGATTTCCAGGCAAATCAACAAAGCAAGCAGTTTTCCCTTTGAACACTGAGTCAAGCAAAAAAAAAAAAACTCAGCTGAACGCACCCACAGGCACTGTACCTCACAAAGGGGTAGTTTCATGATTCATCAAAATACAATTATTTTGGAAAAGGAGACAAATTCCAATTGCTTCGCAGTTTGATCCCCCAATGTGGTCGACCCGCTGCACAGATACAGCACCTGCTGAAGCAGGAAAGTGACAGATAACTGAAATGCTTTCAATTCGTCACTGACTCGAATAAGGTTGCAGGCTGGCAAAACCCGCAACGGCCCACACTGCTTCGCAACAGGAGTCCGATTCCGGTGGCCGAGATCTGACAGCTGCTGCCGTGGTTCATGTGGACAGCAGAGCCGAACGATAAGACCTTCCCTCTTCCTTCTCATCTCGGCTGCGGATACAGGCAAAGAAAGGAAAGCCTTCGAAGAAACAGTCCCAATCCAGTGCGCCAGCTCTTTTTAACGAGAGCCATTTGCAATTGGCTCTTATCAGCCGCGCCGTGCAGACAGGAGCTGTATACAGTGGGTGTCAGCGACACAGATGCTGTAAGAACGCCGATGTCTGCAGGTGAATAGCAGAACCTCCATCAAGTCTCACTCCGGCACTGTGCTGTTAAACCAGATGAAGAAGAAATACCGATTCACTCTTTGCTCACTTGCGTCTGTTTGTCATGCACTTAGCGTGCAGGGGTACCACATCAGGGAGGAAGGGAATGCACTTAATTTCTAACAATAATCTTTGAAATAATCACCACCGGTGCTCAGTGTGTAGCGATTGGAGCAAAGTGAAAACTCCTGGCTTGAGATTCTCAACTGGAATAGTTTTTTGCAGCGTGCCTTCGGTGTGGTGTGATTTATGGGGTATGACATTACTCTGCTCTCCTTCTCCCTCTCCTTTCCTCTCTTGCTGTTAACGAAAGATACACACGGCATTTTGAAGTCAGCGTGCCACCCAGTGAAAATAATGCAATTATCTGGACTTGCATCTGCACTTCTGTGGCTGGGCGGTAAATGCCTTTCTTGTGTAAGCATCTGTGTCAGGCCTCACGTGTTGCAACACAGATGCATTAACTGCCGTGTTTGAGTCTGCTCCATTTTGTGCTTGTGCTTGGTGTTGTGCTGTGCGGCAGGACTGTCAGGGTGGTTCGTTATACACGGTGTGGGCTCCGTCAGCCTTTTGTACCTTTCCGTTTCGAGTACACTCGGTTCAGCTCTCTCAAGTGCTGTGTGTGTGTTTCTCAGCCTCTCGTTTCTAA